GTGGTACTGGGGATTGAACTCAAAGGCACTCAACCACTAAGCCACATCCCAGCCCCCCCCTTTTTTTTTTTTTGTATTTTATTTAGAGACAGGGTCTCACTGAGTTGCTTAGTGCCTCACCATTGCTGAGGCTGGCTTTGAACTCAGGATCCTTCTGCCTTTGCCTCCAGAGCAGCTGGGAGTACAGGTGTGCACCACCATATCTGGCCCAGGATTACCTTTTACAGAGATCCCTCAGGCTGTGCTGTAGGGGATGCGTCAGAGCAGGACCAGTGAGGGTCAGGAAAGTAGCAGTGAACTCTTCTAGGAGCATGAAGCAGGGCACTGGTGACACGGCAGAGGAGCCCCAGGCCGACTGGAGATGTGTTGTGTGGGAAATTGGCAAGATTTGGTAAGAGACTGAAAGTGGTGGGAAGAAATTGAGAATGCATGCCTTTTGAGTACTAAGTTTGAAGCTTGAACAAGAGGGTCATTGACTGGGGATTTGGGAGAATGGTTAGGTTTAGGAAGCTCTTCGGCTTCTTGTCCTTATCTTTCATTTAGGAAAATGAAAATCTCACTTCCTTCTCATTTCCTCAGGCAACATTCATTGTTGTGCTTTGGGGGCTTCCAACAAAAATTAAAGTTCTTTGCTATACCCCCCACCCCACCCCACCCCCTTTGCAGCTGTCCTTGAAATTAAATTTGGCCCTCTTCACAGACCATGGCTGCCCTTACCACATGTTTTCCTAGTAGATAGATGGCAGCCCCTTGAGGGCAAACGTCACGAGGCAGAACTCTACACTTACAGAGGAGCCCTTCTGGACACTTATTGAATGCAGTGGAGTGGGGTCATGAGGGTTTCAAAGGCATGGGTGGGATGTGCAGAATGGACTATAATGGCCGAGAGCTAGGAAATATACTTCCAAAATTGGCCATCACTTGTTTGCAGGTGATTGGCAGTGGAGGTGTCTCACATCTGCTGGCACAAGGTAATAGCTGCAGCCACACCCCAGAGAAATCAAATTAGAATCTTCAGGGTGGGACTCTCATGCATGGGTATCTGTCAAAACACCCCAGGGGATGTCAGGGGGCTAGTGGATTGAGAACCAACCAGAGATCAGAACTCACAGGACCTTAAACCTCTTTTAGGGAGTTGTGCGGCATGCAGGAGGATCAGTTGTGAGATAGGGACAACATAGAGAATGTTGGGTAGCGCATCCCTTTCACAGCAGGCACCTTGAGCTTTCTGTCAAACCAGGATAATGACAGAGCAGGCTATGGTGTGCCTGCAGCCTCAGGACAGGAGGGCTCAATCCACTTTGAAGGCTGTCAGTCTAGCTATTGTCCCAAGCAGCAAACTCCCCCTGTGCAACCTGCCCACAGACCAGAGCAGAACCCCCATGCCACCAAGCAGTCACACACTCACGGATTTGGGGCATGTCTTGGTCTCCCAGTGGCAAGTTCTTCTTGAAGGGCTTTCCTCTGGCAGAGCATCCATTTTTCTTCTGGTGCCAATAAAAATCCCTAGCACTGTTCTTTCTCCTTTGCTCCCTTCTATTGCTTCTGACAGAGTTTGCCAGTGAGCTGAGGTCAGGATTTCCTTTTTACAAACAACCTGCTTTCAGTCAGCGGGGCCAGAGGTTTCCTAAATTACAAACCCTTTCATTTCTTCTGCCACAAGTCATCCTGTCAGTTTGTATAATCACACAGAATGCAGAGAAATGGAAATGCTCAGAGAGACACTGAAAGAAAGACGTGCTCTTACCAATGCGATCCTTTCGGCTTGTCGAGAAATTATACCAGATAGGATGGAGGGGCTATTCTAGCCCAAGCTTTGTAGCTGTGCATAATGTAGGTAAAGTTCAGTGTCTGGGAAGAAATTTCTTGTAAGTCTTAAGTAGCATACAGTGTCCGTTAAGTCTGCATTCTGTTAGGCAAATGGTCTCCTTTTATATTTATCTGAATTGGGAAACATCCATGTCATATGTAAGTTTTGAAAAACAAATTTAAGAAGTTATTACAAAATGTGTGTGTTTCCTTTGATGTCTGGCTCAATAAAAGACCAATTTTAAAACAAATCAGGAAGGATGACATAGGATTGAGACACTAAAGCTAAAAAGGCATTCAGATATCACTGGAAAATTGTACTAACGGACAGAATGCCAGACAGACCATTAAAATTGGAAAGGAACACCTTATATTACCTCTTTATTTAGGGATAGATAAGACAGGCCAAGCTTAATTTTTCCTGGCCACCTACTCCTCATCTTATCACAATTCTGCGTGCATCCAAGAGGGTGGGCTGAGGTATGACTTTGCTTTATTTGATTGTGATGCTTGGGCAAAGCATTTAACCCAAGTTCTGTAATCTTTAAAATAAAAGGAGCTTAATTAGACAGCACCTTGACCCAATACTGGGAATCTATTCTAGTATAGAAATGTCACCCACAGGGAAGGTGGTAGAGGCTAATGCAGGAGCTGAACTACTGCTCCTATTCTCTTCTACCTCTTTCTTCCGTGAAGGAGAGCAGTCATGATTGTACATTAGAGCCTGGAGGCTGAAGTTTTTTTCTGAGATAAAGGACAGAGCCTGGCCCTCTCCTTCTCCTTGCCACCTACCATTCTCTCTCTCAGCTCCAGGGCCACAGTCCTGAGGCTTTCTCCTTCCTTCTCTTCTCCAGCTTGCTGCATCCCTTCCTGATTTAGGCTGCTCTCCGGCTCTTCTCTGCCCCTGGCTCTGCTTGGGCCAGCTCCCCCCCCCAGCCTTCAAGAACGAATGAGATATCCATTCGTTCTCCAGGAAGCTTCTCCTGCCTGCCTGGGCTAGTGCTAGCCTTTGCCTCCATCAGTCCCTTTATGGACCCCTTTCTAGAACGACAACAAACTCTCTCATAGCCTCTGGCCCAATGCTTGCGGTCAGGACCAGGCCGTGTTTTCCAGCTTGTTCTCTAGTCTAGGCGAGGACAACACAGTGATGTGAGGAGATGGTGTTTTTCCAAATGCTTTATGTATTTTAACATATTGTCTTCAGAATAATTCTTGAAAGTAGCTCTTATTGTTACTCCCCTCTTACAGATGAGGAAACTAAGGCTCAGAGAAGTTGAGAAGCTTGGCTTACTAGGTTAAGGAAGCTGAGATTCCAGCCCATCTGAGTACAGAAGCCAGGCTCCTAACCACTGGGCTGTCTTTGCACAGTGTTTAGACACTTTGGACATGTCTGGATTCTTCCTGTGTCTCACCAGTCTCCCTATTCCAACCTGTTAGCCAATCCCATCATTGTTATCACTAAAAATAAACCCCAGCTTTCCCTCTCCACCAACCTACTTCAAATCTGACCATTGTTGATCTGGACTGAATTAATGACCTAATAACTGGTTTACATACTTCTCTTGCTCCTCTATAGCCTGTTTTCCACAAAGAAGCCAGAGTGATCATTTCAAAGAATAAGAAGGAGCAGTTAATACCCTTGCATAAAAACTTCAATGGCCTCCCTTTTTACAGAATGGCACCTAAAACCCTTAGCATGACCTCAAGATCTTTCTGGTTTCTCTCTTCCTTTACAAAATCATCTCCTACATCTCTCCTCTTGGTCCCAAAGGTGTGTTTTTCATTCCTACAATACAAACATGCCTGCATGCTTTGCCCCTGACCTAGCAGCCATGCTGCCTACTCCCTAGTAGTCAGGTCTCAGGTCAGACATTCTGTTCAAGGAGGCTTACGATGTCTATTACCCATGTTCTGTGTTAACTTTCCACAAAGAACCCTTCTGACACGAGGCCATCTTATTCATTCATTCAGTAATTCATTTACTGTCTGTTTCTACCAGCCCCAATGTGATCTCAGAACTGGGGGCATCCAGGACAATGCACACAAGAAGGGTTCCATGAATCTGTTGAATGGAACGTGCGTGAACTGCCAAGGTAGAGGGTGGGTGCATGAGAAGTTGAAAAGAAGTTGCTAACACAATACCATGATGCCAAAGAAGACTGTGCAGAAGAGTGGGGACGGGAGATGGCCACAGTTTGGGTGGACTGAGGCTGTAGGAGGTCATTGCCATTACTGGGAAGGCTCTAGCAAAGATGAGGCGGGGCTGTTTGCTCCATTGAAGAGCATGATACGCTGGCCTGGCACCTGAAGGTTTGCTCCTTAAGGTAATGAGATAATGCTGAGGAGAAGGGCCATCCTGCATTTGGAAGCTCTAGAATGCCCAGGAGAAATATCTGAGCTCTAATCCCCAAAGGAGAACCCTTTAAATGTTTTGGCCACAGGGTGTCATGGTAGAAGCGCTGCTTTAAAAAATTCATCTTTGGAGTGTGTCTCCTCCATTTTGCCTACTTTTCTTACTTTTCCTATGACCTAGTAATCCCTTCATTCCACACACCAAACTCTCTTTAAAGGTTCTTCCCCAGCCCCCTTTGTTTTCAAGGTGGACACCTCACTCTTCAACCTGCTTCATTTTGTGTGTGTGTGTGTGTGAAAAATGTACCTCATGGAGCTGATAGACGGGCCAGACAAATGTACATTTGATTTTCATGTGTTTGTATGTATGCATGTTGTGTTTCTAAGATTAAATTCTCAGGAGGAAGTGAGTTGTGCTGTTTTATAGCTCTCTGTCGGTGATTAATCTGGCTAATCGTAGAGATATATGTTGTGGGCGTTCTTTTCGATGAAATTGCCTTATATTTGCTGTCCCTTGGGTATTTAAGTGGCTAAATCTATGACTTGCAATCCAAGATATTTTAAGCTGAAATCTGCCCTCTAAGTAGATAAATCTGAGTGAGGGTTCAGTTTATAGAGTTTGGGGAAAGAAAGAGCTTTTCCATTCATCAGTTCTTAGTGATCAGAGAAACAGCTGTTGCCTACCAGCTTGGTTCCCTGAAGGATTGATAAAGCCATCACGGCAGCTGCTTCTTGCAACTTCCTTTGTGGGGCTTTTGAGTGTTCCAATGCAACCAAAGTCCTGCTACTTCCTATAAACACCAGGAAAAAGATGATATTGATATTCGAGGAGCGTATAGTACTTCACAAATCAATTTTATTAATTTAAACACAAAAATTAATGAAGAAAAATTCTGTACACAATTGTGGACACGACACACCTTTTTACAGTAAGGCCAAGATGAGTTTTGTCTTTTCAGTCTTCAGAGTACAAGAACATAAAATGAGAAGGTTAAAAAAAAATAAATCATCAACTTCTGTTTGCTTCAAGCGAAAAAGGGAAAAAAAAGAGAAGCTAATTCATTTGTCACACGATTTGGAGAATTCACAAATGACTAATTCTAGCAGCAACACGAAACTTCAGATAAGGGTGGAATAGCTCTTTAGCTACTCTGGGTCAAAGCTGGGGGGGCCAATACAATATTAAATAAAATGTATCCAAAGAATAATTTCATGGAAATGGAAAGCTTTAGATGCCAAAGATTAGCTTGCCTGGACAAATTGATCACTTTGGGAGAGACTTTCCTATTGTGTGACCACGGTGACACTTTCCCCCCCCACCCACGATTTATGCTTGTCATGATATAAGTGGAGGCTAACATTAATCTTTTGGTGATGGAGACCCAGCTACATCCACTGTTGGCAGTGAACTTTCCTCTGCATGGGGAGGAAAAGAGAGGGGATTTGAACTTGTGGAGTAATGCAAAGTTATACTGATGTCTAGCCACGTGGAAATGTCTTCCTGTACTTAAACAAGAAAATACAGACACAATAATAATTCTGAGTACATTAAAACTCTGTTAGTCTCCCATTCATGAACCATTTTTATTAATAAAATATATCTATCATCTATATTATTTCCATGGGATGAAGCATTTGAATAATCACTTTTCCAAATAGTTACATATAATACATTAGTGTTGAAATGAAAAAGGTGATAAGAGGACTTTTCATGTTTCCAAAAGAAGAAGCTGCTGTGTTATTTTTATCAAGATCCTCCTAACAGTATTAACAAAATTTAGATAGAAGAACTGATGGGGAAAAAGGATTTGGAAAACAAAATCCTTATTGACACTTGACATCCATGCTTTTGGTCTTGACAACATTATCAAAAAAAAAAATCCATTATCTACATATTTATACCCAATACTCGGATAAGGCACTGCACATGGGTTTGTGCACCTGTTGCCTCAAGCTTCACTGAGAAGGCTTTACTGCCTTTCAATATCATTTCCCTAAACAATATGTAAAAGAATCATCCATTATTACAAATTTACACCAAAAATTCTTTCTGTACATGATTGTCTCAGTGACGTACATATTATATGTTTAAATTAGACATACTTTAAACTACTTTGCAATGTGCTAAAATTCAAAGTACTTGCCATGTCATGAGGCAAAGGCCTTTAATTGCTTATTTCTTACATTATTGTCTCTTCAATTACTTGATGTCAAAAAAGTCTGTCTGGGCGAGTTGTATGGTATGTGATTTATACCTCAGTAAATTTTTTTTTTAATAAAAAGTCTGTTCATAAATAAGTAGAGATGTACAGATTACCCTGGGTAGAAGACACCAAAAAGTAAACCTTCTTTACAAGAAAATTCTTCCAATGGTATTCAGGAAATACATTTTCAGTCTTTGTTGTGCAATCAAGTTTGCTGTATTAGAGAAGCTGTTTATGTCACATTGAAAATGCTAAAAACTGAAGTGTTTGCAGGTCCTTTCTTCACAGGTTTGAACCGTGTAGTTAATGTGGCAAAGACACATTACACTGTGCTAGAACATTCTCATGGCTTATTTTCATTGGATTCACAGTACTAGAGTCAACAGCTGTTCTGAAGAAATAGACGTGGTCCTCCCTTAACCACGAGGGCAGAGGTCAAAATTGACAGCAGCTGCACATGGTATGTTGAAATCACTAAGTTCTGGAGTCCAGCGCTGACAAGAAACTCGGGCCTGTTGGATTTGTCCCTGGTCACAGGGAGGTTGTGTGGTTTCAAAGTGCCATGCTGTCGTTACAGGTACTCCAGTTCCAAGGCATGATGTAGGGCCATGAGGTCCGAGTGGCTAGAGACCCTCCAGAAAGGCATGGCATGCTGCAGAAGGGGCAGATACACAGTCAGGACAGAGAATGTGCCCAACTCCCTCTAAAAATCCACTATTTATGCCCAGTCCCTTGTTTAAGTATTAGGAAAATTGCCGGCTATCATCTTCGCCATCACATCCATCTGTTCAAAAAAAAATTCAAACCTAATCCTCCCAAAGAGTCTGGGGATGAATTTTAAAATGTAATCCAGAGTTCATTTCTTTAAAAAGGTTCTGGATATTTTTAAACTAGGTCTATACTGTGACTTGATTGCTAATTTTAAACTTTAATAAGACATTCACTATGAATGAAACTTTGCCAAGAACAGGTGCCTTTCAAAATATGTATGCAGTGGATTTTTGATGCTGAAAGCTTAAAAAGCTTTTCTTTTTATGAGTCTAAGCCATTTTCCTCAGTTGGTAGTATTTTACATTTTTCCAAACTAATCTTTCTCATATATGAAGCAATCGTTCTTTATTTCCATCAGTTATTCTTTACATTGTTCTTAAATGACTTTACCATATGAGAAAAACTTAATGGACGTCTAAGGTTGGTTTGTGTGTATTTGTGTTATTACTTAAACTATCAAGGTAGGGATGTTTGTGAAACATCTGAATAAACCAGAGACAAGAAAAACAGGAGAAAGTAAGGTCACTGCAATCCATAAGTGGTGAAAAATGTGATAATGAACTTTTATAGTTCAAAAGGAGTGTAAATAAGTACTTTTGCATCAGTAAAATGTTTTTCTTAAATAAAAGAAAATCATCACCTTTGGGGGACAAAATTCTGCTTAGCTCATAAAGTGATAAACTACTTATTATAGAAGGTAATAATTATAGGATAATATGGAGGCCAAAGTATAATTTGCAATTATAGTTCTGAAGAATTTGGGAAATTTTCAGACTAAGAAGAATCTGACACGGAGGCAAATAGAAATGAGGTTTTTTTTTTCTAATCTGTAACAATGGGAGCTACTATTTTGATATCAATCACAAGCTGCTATATTACTGGGCTGCAAACTATTAAAAGCACATTTATTAACAATGTATTTGCCTCAAATTATCTAAAATCTTATATTACATTGCAATATCAAATGTAGGCCTTTTGTACTTGATATTACTTGCAAGTATCTATATATTTTTGTTAGCCACTTCTAGACTATTTTATCATTTAAGGATAAGATCTCATTGTAGATTTCTAGAGGATGCTCTACTGAGATCTTTAGATTGTAAGATAAATCATTGTGCTTTCATTCATTTTAAAAAATTGTTTTTGATTTTTGCATGCATACAGTCTAGGTATAAATGACCTTGAGTTGCATCTTGCCATGACTCAGTATTTCACAGTCTGTAGATGAGTAACAGAAAGGTACTACTATGTAAATTAATCTGTATTCTACGGAGAGTTGAAGGGGAGCAATCATCTTTGCTTAGGGAATGGGGGAAATACTTGAACATAGGACGTGCTAGTTGAGCTGGGTCTGAAAGGATGAGCATTCAGAAGAGTACTCTGAATGGGTCTGTGGGGTGGGGCACAGAAGATAAAGGAAAAGTTGTTAGCACTGGTTGGGTATGAAAGACTCATTTGGTGACATGACTGGCTGCAGGAGCCAGTTGGTTCAGAGTCTGGTAAGCCCTATGAAAGAGTTTCTTGGTAATGATAATTATTAAGTACTGGGTGTTATGTCAAGAGTCACTGTGCCACATGCCTCAAATAGATATTATTATCACCATTCTACTACTGAAAAAAATAAGAGTAGAGGGTTTTAAATAATAACTGATATGGAATGAAGCCAAGATTCTTACCAGCTCTGAACTTAATCTGAATTTTACTGTAATGCCTCCTAACTGTTCCTGTGGCTTTTAAAAAAAATTTGCATAGCTGAATTATCAGCACAATAGCACATATTAAAACACATACTCACAATCCAATCCCTAATCTGGTAAACATGTGAATGCAATTCATAGATCTGGGATGTAAATGTTTGATCTCTTAGAAAGCTTTCGGTATTATTTCTTTTTTATTATTGGAGAAAATTCATGCATATAAAATATTTGTAAAAAAAATAGAACTATCTAAAGAAATACAGACCACTTTTTAATCCTACTACACAAATTTCTGTACATTTTTATGTAAGTTCCTATTCACATATTTGAAATTATGCATATATACAGAATGTACCATTCTGCATGCTGCTTATTTTGACTTAATCTCAACTTAATTTTAGATATATCGTTTTCAACTATAAACATATTCTTTCATATCAAACTATTTAATATCTAATTTTATATCCTTATGCTAATTGTGATTTTCCTCTTTCCTTTAATATATTTGCCAGCAATCCATTACCCTTCCCCAAAGTTCTTTCTCATTTCTATAGATCTAGTGTGCTGTTATTTTGGGAAGTAAAAAAGGATGCTGAAGGTTCTTCAGACAGACATCCAGAAACCTCTAGGATAACTAGCTTTACAAATTTATATAAAAATATTTGTGAGAGGTGGAATTTTTTTTTTTCCAAAATAGGTTTGGATTCTTTTGCAAGCATTGGTTCCCACAAATGAGTTCCCTACATCTACAATCATGACCACTACACATTTGGAAGCTACTGGTGCACTCAGAAACATGCAGCGACAAACGCAATAAGTGGCAGAGAAATAGAAAAGGAAACTTTAAAAAAAAATACTCCAGCTAATTCTTTGGTACATGGTTAAGTCATAAATTGGCCATTTCATGTCATAGCAAAAAACAGGTCCAATGACTGTCACTCATCTTCATAGGTGTGTTAATGCCAGCCTAGAGCACATTTAAATTGTTTTACCTTTAAGCCCTATTCTACAACACTATATAGAAAGGTGAGATTCTTCCTAAGAAGTCCTGAGTGAAAGTGATGAGCTATTCCTTTAGCAGATGATAGACAGCCCATCAACCCATCACAGTGCAGTGGTGATGAGGCTACTTCCTTGGAACAAAAGTGCCCAAGGTTTTACAATGACAGCAGGCAGATTCTGGGGACAGCTGCATTTAGGACACAAACTCCAGACTCAGCACTATTTCATCTCTTGAAGGGTAAAGAGGTCAGCAATGATCAGCTTCATTCTCACAAAAAAAAATAGTGGACTTCTCTAAGAGATGTTAACCAACTATCAAGTAGGTGCTTAAAAGAAAACAGTCTATGGAAGAAGGCTGGTGACAAAAAACTCCTACCCATAAATAATTAGAACTAATATTGCATAATAGTATTTTCCCTAAATAAGCACACATTGATGCAAAGATTGCATGTATTTCTAAGAGCTTCCCTATCTATAAAATAAAGGTTTAGGGGAAATGACTCAAGGTGCTTGATTGCAAGTTTATGATTTAATTATTAAGCTATAGTCCATTCCCTTTAGAGTACTGTAGCTGCAGGAGGAATGTAATAGTTAAGACACAAGACACATGCCGCCACTGCCAAGAACCACTCAGCAGGCACGATATATCTGATGAGACAAATTCATTACAATTTTGTGAGGCTATGTGGGACTGAAACTCAAATTCAGAGAGGAGAGCTTAGCTGAAAGCGGTAAGTTGGGCTTGTACTGAAGTGGAAGAATGGATGAAGTTGGAAAGAGAGATGTGCAGGGATGGGACTCCCAGTTAGGAGGTGTGTGTTGTGACAAGGCCAACAAGTAGGATGCACAGAGCATTTTCTGTGATTCTTCTGGATGACTCATTATATGGATCAATAAGATTTTTCAAGGAAATGAAAAATATATAAGGGGTTTAGATTTGTATCTGGTAAATAGAAGGAAATGGTGTCTCCCAACATCGAGGAATTTTTAGCCACCAAGAACGTATTTTAAACAATTTAGGGCAGCAGCCAGAGTCAGATGGATTTGGAAGTGTGACTGTCTGGGTCACAGAAAAATCAGGCAGAGTGACAGTAGAAATGGAGTGAGTGTGATGGATGGAAGGCATCATGAATGGAGAATTCATGTGACTTATGGGCTGCAGGTAGAGTACCCCAAAGCGAATCTAAGTGGACAAACTGGTTTAGGACAGCTGAAATCATTCAGTGTATTAAGATATTCAGATGGTTATGACATGCAATAGCAGAATGGAAATACTCCATCTGGTAACTGGAGCCCTAGGTTCCAAAATAGAGCTACCCACAAATCTTAACAGAAAATGACAGCTATAAGTGTGACACATGCACAGTTAGTTTATCAAGAGTGGGCACACACTGAGAGAAGTGGGTACCAAGGCCTAAAGGAGCACATGGTTCTGAGTCTTTACAGCCAAAATGTTTCCCAACGGGAACATAATGACACCTTCCTTCCTTTTCCCTCTTGACTATGGCTGTGAACTCTCCAAATTCCCTTAGCCTGACCTTCCCACCTGATATTTTGCATTTCTCCCTTCTAGTTACATCTGACATCCATCACACATAAAGCCGGGCATGTGGGCACTCATAGATAAATGGATATTGCTGGATTAAACTAAAATTTTCCAAAATTTAAAAGCAGACTCTGATGTTCATATTGCACTTCTGGGAATTTATCCCACAGAGGAATTTGTCCAACAGATACACTTGAATAAACCACATAAACACCATTCACTGCAGAACTGTTTGTAATAGTAAACACAGGAACCCACCTAAAGTTCAGCCCCAGGGGACTGGTTAAATAATTGCACATCCACATAATGGAATACCAAGCAGTCACTTAAAGGGATTAGAGATGGAAATCTCTATATACTGATACAGATAAGTGCCAGGACAGATTGCCAATGAAAAAAAGCAGGTACAGAAGAAAACAATATAATTATCATTTGTATTAAAAAAAAAAAACCCTCTGCTTTCCTATGCATACATTATTTCTGGATAGTTTGCATATGGAGGTACCAAAACATAGATTATTCTAACAACTCATGAATACTTATTATACTTCTCATCTTTTTCCCCTCCAATCAGAAGTGAGCTCTTCAAGGATGAAGGAGAATCCAGTTCCAAGACCTGACATATAGTAAGTGTTCATCAAATGTTAACAAATCACTATACAGTAGTAAGATTCTTTGGATTCCATGTTTGTAATCTCTGTATCACTCTTAATGAAAACTAAAACCAGATAATTTAATTGCATTACTAATATTTTTATATAAGTGGCTTCTATTTTCTTCTTGAATATGTTCAGAATTAGGTATTGTCAATCAAGTTCTCAGTTCTATTCTGGATTTTACAAGTTTTGAATGTTTAATAGTGCAATTTTTTGGGGGGTGGTGGTAGAAGGGATTGAACTCAGCGGCACTCAACAGTGCCACATCCCCAGTTCTATTTTGTATTTTATTTAGAGACAGGGTCTCACTGAGTCACTTAGCACCTTGCTTTTGCTGAAGTTGGCTTTGAACTCATGATCCTCCTGTCTCAGCCTCCTGAGCTGCTAGGATTACAGGCCTGTGCTGTGCCGCCTGGCTAAAGTGAGCAACTTTTGATGAAGCCTATGTCATTGTGTAGAATAATGTATATTTATTGTTTTTTCCTGTTATTCAGAAGAGACTAATTTGAAATAGCTTTCTAAGGTTAGTTTTCATTTGTAGAGTAAAAGTGGCCTTACTAAACTAAGTATTAACATCTTGATTTTTTTAAAATCATTGCATGAACAATTTTCACTCAAGTCATATTGTATTAGGAAAACAAAGAATTTATGGTGAAAAAGAAGGCCTGATTTTTTTTTCTTTGAGGAAAGCATTTCTATGATACGAATTATAGAGTTAGATTCAATTACTCAGAAAAGTCCTTGGACTAAATTGGCAAAGAGGTCCAAGTGAAACCAGGATTTCAAGTGACCTTTAATGACATAGGCAACTGGAGAATTACTTACAGGCTTTTGTTTCTGGCTTAAAAAACAATCTTACTTAGTCAGATGAAAGACATCTCTACAGGGAAAAGAAGAGTGTTGTGCATTTTTAACTGAGAGGTAAGCTAAATGGTTAAAACTGATTTTGAACAAATGCAAAATGTTTTGACTTTGCAAAACAATATAAAAATGTGCAAGACTTCAGTGGTTCACTATTTTATTTAGTAATTTAAACTGATTATTCATTCTGATACTTCAGTTATTGAGTAGTACTAAAGTTTAAAAGCATAATTTCATATCTGCCTCACAAGAAGAAATAAACTTTAATTTAAAAAAGCATATAAATTATTTTCTGTAAACCAAATGCTTAAGATATATAAATGAGATTCATAGTTTACTTCTAAATCTCATGAGACCAGAGAAAGCAAGTTCAAAACTTAGGACACTTTCTAGCTGTGTTTGTTGGTCAAATAAATCATCCTTTCTGTGCCTTCATTTCCTCCTCTGTGAAGTGGGTCTAAGGATTCCTTCCTAATAAAATTGCAAGAATTTAATGAGACAATGGATATGAGTGCTTAAAAGGAGAGACTGAGGTATGAAGATGTTAGTAACTGGAACAAGAACTGCTAACTCTTCATGTAGCTTTTTACAGGGCAAGTTGAGGATATTCATTATCTATTATTTTAGATCTTTTTCTAAAAAGGCTAGACAAAACATTCTCCTTAAGTTAGAAAATTAAGACCTATCATTCTGAGTAAACTTGATATCTGAATCTTTTGAAAAATCTACACTTTATATACAGAGAGGCAGGTCCCAAGGTACAAAGAGACTATTCTCATCAGATGGTTTGGGACTTATCACCTATAGTCAAACAGGAAATCAAAGTTAAAGGCTGGGATGACCCATTCATAGTCAAAAAAATTCAGAGAATGTTCTTTGCAACTGGTGTGCCCCAGGTAAAGAAAGAATATCATATCCAAAGACAAACGGAAATAATTTTAACTGTTTTTCTAACAAAGAATTTGTTTTTCCTGTTGTTCTTACCAAAACCAAACCTAAGAAATATATATATATTTAAGGTTTTTAGATAGGGTCCAAAGGATTTTACCTCTATTCTTTGATTTTAGGTGATCACTTTCACACACTGTGGCAACTTTCTCCTGAAATTAAACTTTTGGTGAACACCAGAGGAAGAAGAACCAGGCAGAGTCACACCCTGGCCTAGGGCCACATAGGCATGAAATGCTGCTCTTCAACTCCACAGTTCTCAGAGGTGTAAATCTGTTCCATGCCTTCCTGGCCACCAGGAGGTCCAAGGGGGAATTCCAGAGGTTTTTCCAGAAAGACAACTTGAGCCTGCATTCCCACTAAACATTCTCTTTAGATCTCCAGGATTGAATGTTGGGAATTCTAATTTATTTTGAGGAAGATGATCCACAGGGCTAATATGTATACCCAAGAACAATCAAGGCTGCACACTGGTGGAGAAGAAAGGTCAGAATGAGTGCTTAAATGGCAAATGCCATTTCAGATCAAGCACCAACAGACCAGAAGTTACTGTGAGTCTCCTGGCACACTGTATCCATGGTGCGTATCAGTGAGGTCATTGACAGAATTAGTGTCAATACCTACACTTTCATTGGAATTCAGAGGCACCAACAAAGGTGCATGAAGTCATCTTCATAGACCATAAGAAGGCTGGCCACATGTCATACTTGAGGTTCAATGATGCATCTGTGACCTGGAACTTTATGTGCCACTTCTAGTATATACGAAAAAATATTGTAGAAGAACTAGATTCTTTTATGGAATCTAATGAATGAGTGTGGGAGGGGAAAGTTATGTTATTGGCTAATCTTGTCATGCTCTTAGGAAATATTTAGAGTACAAGTGTACCAAGAATTATAAAAACATTCAAAGACAGACTCAATAAAACAAAACAAGATCTCCACCTCTAAGCTCAGATTTAGTTCCTGAAAGAGACACATCAGCCAACAGGAATGGTGGCTACCATTTCTTACTGAATTCACATGTATCAGGCTCTATTTTATTGTAGTTATAGATCTTAAATCTAATCTTTAAAAACAGGCCTGGAAGCTAGGTGCTTTTGCTAGACCAGGAAGACGAAGAGAGGGGTCAAGAAACTTGTGCAAAGTCAGACTGGAATAAGCAGCAGAGCCATAAATCAAACCTAGGCTGGAGCAAGAATCCAAGCTGTTTACTACTCTAGTTCTGGTGAGTAAGACTATAATTAGGTTCCTAGACACTGTGGGTATATGAAAAGTAAAGCATGAATTTTGAAAATTGAGTTAGACAATGACTGAAAGGCACTGGGGTAAAGATTCCAGAGAAAAAATGCTAGGCATGGTCTGAGGAGGGTGTAAATCCTCAAATGCATATGTTGGTGGTATCTGGAGGTGGAGCCTGTAGGAGGTAATGAGATAGGGCTGCCATGACAGCATTAATGGCTGTACAAGAGGAACAGAGACCTGATCTTGCATACTTACTGTCTCAATGTGGGATGCCCCCTGCCATGTTATAATGTAGCAAGATGGACTGCTCAGCTTCTAGAACTGAGCCACATAAACCTGTTCTTTTATAAATTGGTCTCAAGTATTTTGTTACAGTAACAAAACAAACATCAACAGATGAATGTGACTGCAGTGTTCTGTGAAGGAGGAAGGCAGGTTGTAACCAGATTGTGAAGACCCTGGGTGCCAGGCTAAGGTATGTGGTCCTCCCCTTACAAAAGGGCATTGAGATGCAGAATGAAACAGCTTCTTCAGAGAGAACCTTGAAGAGATTGAGGAGAACAAAAATGCAAGGGTAAGACAGGAAGTCAGGAGACTTAAAGTGAGGTCCTTTACAAGTATCCCAAGAGGCAGGACCATCAGGTCCCATAGAAAACCAAATCTCTGGCCACCTGGTATGGAAGAGGCAGTCAGGCTCAGGTAATGAGATTTGAACCACCTGGCAACGTCTGTTCTGGGTACAGAAAGGGGCAGGCTGGCATGAGTAAGCGTGTGTGTCATCTCTGTTCTGGATGGTAACTGCACCACTCTGCCTACCTTTCTGCTCCCAAAGTCTACACTCTATGAAGACCAACCAGATCTTCACAATCTGGTTACAACCTTTGAGCTTGTGCACCTCACTATTCATGTTGAGTTCTCTGACCTTTTCCGGTGCTTATAGCTCTGTACATGTCCTATAGTCTGTTTCAATGATCCATTTATGAGAATTTTGAGGACTAAGGAAAAGTGAATAGCACAAGATGTACCCTCTACACTCACCTTTTTTGCTCCTTGTTCTTCTTCCACACCATCTCCTATAACAACATACACCACTTTTCTTCCAAACCTTTGAATTATCCTCTCAAAACAGCTTTCTTTTCCTAATGAACAAAAACAAATTACACAGTTTGGATAACCCAGACTGATGGTGCTGGAACCTTTTATATAAAATGCTTTCTTTGTGCTTTTGATTCAACTCAACCCCATTTGTGCAAAACGTAGAGTGCTTGTATGTCATTTGGTATTATATGGAATAGCACAATAGATTTAAAATTACAAATTAATTAGCAATGTGGTATCCTGTCCCTTGAAAACTGACAATACTCTTTTCCCAAGGACTTGTTCATTAAAAAGTAGAATCTAGTCAATTTCAGTTTAACAATTGAGAGAACAGTGTTGTTTTGCAGTAATACTTTTTTCTTACAAGCTGAGACTAAACAAAGACATGAAATTCTGGCAATATATTATAGCTTGGTTTTTAAGAAGTTTCATAAAATATCAAACTCTGAAAATACTTGTTCCAAATAGAGAATGTTAAGAGAAATGAAACTGGTTTGACTTGGTTTTGGCAATAGCAAGAACAAACAAACATTGGAATTAGTTTACCCCTTCGTTTTCAGGTTGAATTAAAGCCCAATGAGTTTACTTGAAATAGTTTCAAAAAACTCCTCCTGAAATCAGTGTCAGGTAATTGGGGTACCATAGTGAGCTCATGCCTACTGTACCCAGGCATCTCATGTTCAATAAAGCACTTTCCTAGAGGAAAGGAGAGATACAGGTAACAAAACACCTTTATCTGTCTGTTATCTTTCCCATGTCATGACTTAGTTTGGGCTCCCAGCGTGGCTACCCCACCAGCACATCCTAGCAGTTAATGCAGGCATTGTTTCTTCCAAGTCTCTGGCTGCCAATGGGGTCATTTTACTGGACAATGGGACAGTTTATAGTTTTCAAATGTGAATGGTTGAGAGGGACCTGCACCCCTTTCAAATAAGGATCAGATATACCAATGAACAAATTGCTTGTTTGCTTAAACAAATGTCTGCTTTATATTTGTATTTTGCACTAAAATCTCTCATTTGCATCTGACAGAATGAAATAGAGCCAGCCTTATTCAAAGGATACAATTTTAATGCTGCTTTAGTTGTCTACTAAACTGTGAAACATTAAGTCACTAAGGAACAAATACAAAATATAGTTTTCTTTGCAAAAATGTATAACCAAATATGTGTCATGAAAACTTTTTCCCTCCTTGAAGGAAAATAAGTGTTTCTGCAGTTTTTGTCTCATGGAAACAGGAAGGTTAAACATTAAAGGTGAAGGTAGAGAGGACAAAAATGAATTCTTTCCTATGCATATATGTTCAACTATAAATTTGGGGTCAGGTGGAAAAGATGAAGCTGTCATTTAGAAGTTAGTTAGAAATCTTATACTAAGTATTCACTTTCAATCCATTTTGTCTGAAAAGGCATCCCCGCAGTTCTGCTAAGTGAGAGACCATTCTTCTCCTAGCATTTTAGCGGTTTGTGTACCATGAAAAGCCTGTTTTTTCTATACTTTTTCTATACTGATCATATCTCTTATTTGATGGCACAATTAGCAATAACAATGAGTTTTAATCTCTAGTTTTCTAAATAAAAATATAGAAAAGTGAGATCCTGTCTCTGAGATAATTGTGTACCACCCTATATTTTTCATTCTAATTTTTATTCTGTATTGAAAAAACATCCAATATTTGAAATAAAATGTCCATTTAAATAGTTAATGCTCACTGAAGTGTTATTGTGATTTCCTATTACCATTTTCAAATTACCTGGGATTAAACCTCAAGGCATATGACACACAAAATACTACTTGTGCTTTCCTTCTGGGGGCTCAGAACTACCCCTTCTGTATACTAAATGTTTCCTTGGAATTTGTCCCAACTTTCATGTGCTAATAAACCTTACCACAATCTCTGTTTACAAAACACAATAATTCTACTTGATCAATATAGATGAAAATAGGATTAACACATGACTTAATATAAACCGATTGTTCTTTTTATGGAACATGAGAACATATACAATTTCTGGTTATAATGGGCTACTCAAACAGTTATTTAGTATATCCCTTTTATAAATATTTTTCAGCTTTCTGATCTTGGTTTTTTCTCGGGAAGCATCATTCTCAGTATGTATATTTCCAATTTGAGAAGTCTACATGAATACTTCATAGGCTTTTCAAACTCAACACTGATTTAATTAAGCATAATTTCCCCATCCATTAATCATGCCACCACTGACCCAGGTGCCTAAAAGAAACCTCCATGCCAGCCTTCCTTGAAATAAACATATTTATTTTATTCAGAAACATGTTTTGAGTACCTAATATAAACTGGGCACTGCAGACACTATGATGAGCAAAAGAGACCGCAAGAATATTAAAGTAGGAGACCCATTAGACTCACAGGAATTCCACCTTTGTCCCTTTATAAATAGCCAGAAATAGGCTTCTTCCTACCTACAAGGATGCTTTATCCTCCTTTCCGGGGAATTAACCAAAATTTATCTCCTTAGAGTAATATACAAAGCCATAAGACTAGACCCATGTGTACCTCTCCAGTTTCAACTTCAAGTTTCATTGTACACTAATCAATTAGGATCATTCACAAATCCCTTAGCAGGGAACACATTTTAATTTCTCTTTTGATCTCTTAGCACATCTGCTGGGTACACAGTCTTTGTTCTTCTATACCCAGCTCAAATGTCATCCTGCCCCTTAGCTTTTGCTAGTATTTGCCCTCTGCCGACTCCTGACCAGAAGCAAATGCTTCCTTGGCCATGTGCACATTCAGGCATTTAGCAGCAACCTCCAGGGTATGGAAAGGAGTTTACATTTTGGAATCAGACCTGTAATTGGCCAACTATATACTTGAGCAATTTACTTTAATTTCCTCATTGTAAAGATTGAGTTAATTATATAAAATACTTAGTATAGTTCTAGACACCCAGTAGATACGTGAGATAAGTGCTCATTCATATTACTTTATCATATTGGAATATGGTGATTGAGATGTCTGCTTTCCCTGAGAATAAGAGCCATGTCTTTGTATCCCTACTTTTATTCTATATTGGTTTATAGTTCAATTAAATTTCATATTAGTCTTTTCCCCAACTGTTTCCTTCTTGCAAATAGCTTGATTTTTTTTGTATCTCCATAAAAAAATGGAAATTCAATTGTTCATATATATTAAAAATTAAAAACAAATCCCATTTCCAGTAATAGAAACAACTCTAAAAATAGTTTTATTTTTATAGTTTTACATAACTGCTCATTTTAGCTTACAAATATTTTTGTTGATGGGGTCGAAAATAATAAAAATAAAAGGATAATCTGGAATGGATGAGAAATTACTTATATGTCAAGTACTCATCTTAATATTAGCCAGTGAAATAAAATTTTATGACTTCCACCAAATGGATTATATTTTATTATTTCTCTTGATGTCTAATACTGATTTTGAAAATTATTTCTCAAGTATTCTGAATTCTGAAAAATAAGTTTCATTTACTGTCTTTCACTTTTACTACCCAGAAAGAGTTGATAAAAAAAAAAAAAACAAAACCAGCTCACCTATTTTAGTTGCACTGTAAATATTTTCTATTGGAAATACAATTCCTAATCCATATAGCAGGACTTTTGCCAATGCAGGGATGAGCTGAGTAGTTGTTACTAAAATATTCACACAGTTAGTCCTAAGGGAACAGAAAGAAACGACTGTTGAAAAATGAATCCCCCAAATGAACAAGCCAGAGGCACTCTTGTCCCAGCAGAGACCCCAAGGGTGCCTCACCGGGAGTGAATGAGGGAGAGTGCTTTCAGGGCCAGAGTCAACCAGGAATCTGTCAGAGCTTCAATCTCAGCCCTCAACTGCAACCAGGCTTCCCTCTTAGCTGGACCAAGCAGACCTGGGGATTTAAAAGAGTATATGAGCTACTTCCTCACCAATGCATTTCTCCGGCTGTATAAATATTTAATATCATTACCAACATCGCCTCCAAGCTTTATAATATACAAAGTCATTTTCACATATTATCATTCAGGTGACAAATATTTTAGTTTATAAGGACCACTTGCTGGCTTTGCATTCCTAGCGTGCCTTCTTTTTGGGTCATCTATTTTCCTCACTTCAGCTAACCTTCTGGCTGCCAGTATAGGTGTGTCGTGATGTTGGCTTTGCCAGTGAAAATCAGTCTTGGCAGAACTTTTGCTGAATCTATGAAAAGACAGCTCTTCCTCACCCAGAAAGTGCTAAACTGGTTGGATACAGACCGGGATCTACTGGTGGTCATTTTCCCACCTCTTGGGAGGAACAATCAGATGATTCCTCTCTAGAGGGAAAGCATGGATTCTCTTGATGATATCACTTGAACATCTGAATACAGCCATGTTGGAAATCTATCCTTACACTTTCCATCTTTTTTTTTAAGTCCATATATTCCCTGTGAATGCTAAAGCCATCCTAGCCACTGTGAACCACAGGAACAGATCCAAGCTAAGGCAAGCATCCACCCTGTAGAAGGAATGTTAACAGCCCATCTTGTGATTTGGTTAGGGGTTGCTAAGCCCATATTATTGGAAGGACAACTGAATTGGAGAGGTCAAGGGACTTCCCCCAGGTCACATCACTAGGTAAACAGGGTAGCAGTCTCTATTCTGATACTTCTGACACTAAATCACAGCAGAATAAGTGCTGGTGAGATGCAACTGTCTTTAAAAAGCTAATTACGTCCCAAACAGTGTGACCCAACAGTGAGTGGTACTGTTGGCATTTGAACTGCACTGAGGCCCTGGTGATGGTCACTTGCCTCCCACATTGTTTTTGTAGGTGTTGTAGATCTCTTTTACTCGTCTGTAGCGGAAGGCCAACTTTCTCATCCAGTCCACACCGCCCCGGACACCAGTTGCCAGGCATAAATTAGCACTGGTGGCTGCAGCAGGAAAGCCATCTGTTCCAAAGTTATATGTGCTATTTAGATGCAAGAGAAGTCCAAAGTTAACTGAACAGAAAATTCATCTTAATTAGATGAATAATTAAGCCATAAAAGGGAGAAGATTCATTCACATTTCATGGTGCTCACCTTAGATCCTGTCCATTATCGTCTGAAGAAACATCATCTATATGGACTTGGTCACATTCCTGAAATGAAATCAAAATGATATACATCAGTTTTTTTTTTTTTTAATATTTATTTTTTTTTAGTTTTCCGCGAACACAACATCTTTGTATGTGGTGCTGAGAATCGAACCCGGGCCGCACGCATGCCAGGCAAGCGCGCTACCGTTTGAGCCACATCCCCAGCCCTATACATCAGTTTTTTGAAAGGTATTTTTTTTTTTAAAAGCCACATATAGTCATTTTAAAAAAACACCTTAAATGGAGCATTTTTCTACTATGTAAATCAGTAGGTGGCAGTCTCGTTAAATTGACATTTTTACCTACTTGCGGTGCTCTTCTGTGGGAAACAAGCAATGTCATCGAGGACTACTGTTATTCAGCTTCAGAAAACACATTTTTGTGTTTAGAAAAGAAAGTGATTGAAAACAATTAGCATGTGTGTTCCATAAACCTCAGGTACCTTAAGACATCACGCTGCTCAAAACTGATTCAGTCAGTGTCTGAGCGTAACTGAAACCAGACATTTTGGTAAATGTAACATGCTAGAAAAATTAAACCTGATGCTAACTGCCAATGAAATTATGACCTCTGATTGCTGTTGAGCCACACACCAACACAGCCTGAGGCCAGTGTGCTGAGGAGCCCAGACAAAAAATCTGTTACTAGTTTGCCATTTATTTGAGAGATGTGTTTTATTCTGTGTGTGTATGCGCGCGCATACACACACAGGATTTAAAAAAAAAAAAAAGCGGACAGGAGACTTCAGCACCTAAATAAAAATAATCAAACCATGTGTTGTTTTACATTTCTTTCAATTTTTTTTAACTGTTATTTTTTACAGTTTGGTATTACATGTTCATTTTAAATATTGAATTTATGAGTTTGTTATACCATGTTAGTTTGAACAGATCTGATTTTAAATCCCAAGCAGTGTATAAACTGTTCAGAACAGCAGGTTAACTTTGGGCTAAAACTTTGCTGGACCAAGAGAATGTTTATGCACCTGTTTGTATAGGAGCCTCAGCGTGTCTCCCTATGCCCTCTCCAGCCCCTCGCCTGGCTGTGGTTAAGAATGGGTGCCACATAAACACTTGAGGAATGAATGAAGGCATACTAATCTGGACATAGACAAAGTGTCTAGGCCAGAAACCAGTAACATAGATGTTACTCCTTTTGCATTTAGACTCTAAATATCCCTGAGGCCTTCATTAAACTAAGTTTAATAATACTCAAAGAAATTTCTAGGCAAATACCCTGTATTAGAATAGATTCTTCTGATTCAGGCTCTGCTCATGTTTTCAGATAAAGTTAATTTTATAAAAAGCAGCACCCCTCTTTAGCACTCGGCAACTGACTCTGTAACGGAGATGACATATGTGAACCGCTCCAGTAATGGAAGGTATATTTTTATGTTGCCGGTTCCTTCTGCACAATTCTCTCTCCATGGATTTGTGAGGAAGGGAGCAGGAGATAGAAATGGAAAGAAACTCAAACCAGCTGTTCCTTAACAGAATTAAAATCTTGACCCCCCAACCTCTTCTCCAAAGCATCTATTTTCCAGGCAGCCCTCTCCCAGCAAGCAGCAAGTTCCAAGGAGGAAAAGACTTTGACCTTGTAACCTGCCCACTCTCCTGAGGTCTATAACTTCAGATAAGAAAAAAGGAAAAGGCGGTCTAGGAGCCCTCACATGCTGACTGTGAATTTAACATTTGTAAAACAGGTCATTCTTGGAAAACACAGTGGGGAACTTCTCAGAGTTAACAATTTAATCTTATTTGAGGAGACAATGGTCATTGTTTGTGTTTGCAACAGCATGCTCATTCCAGTTTTAAAGAGTTGCACTAAGTTGGGAGAAGAAATCGCTGATCTTTACCCAGAAATGCAATTTTTATGATAGTTAGTAAATTACTCTTCTACAGTGTGTAGTTGGGGGAGGGAGATGGGGTAAAAGGCCATACTGTCCTGAAAGAGAAATTTTTGAACTGAGGGGAGGAAGTTGAAAAACTGAAAGGGGAAAAAAAAAAGATATGTTAAAAATAATTTAATTCAAGGAAAAGAAGCTGACCCAGAATTCCCTGGTTAACTTGGGAGTTAGAAGAGTGGTTTGGAAGAGCAGGGTGTGGTGATGCTTTTTAAAAACTAATTTAGTTGTAAATTTCCACTAACAGAGGACTCCTTTATCTTCTACCTCTGTTGGCGGCTCCGCTGTCCCCATTATTCTTCTATACCCTGTATTTGTTTTCTCCTGCTAGCTTTATTTAAGACTTATTGTTCCTGGCCCAGACCCTCATTGGAAGAACTGTTCCCTATCTTGGTTAGCTGTAATTAACTGTCAACAGCTTGAGGCTTTTACCAGTTGAGAGCAAACTCACCCCACAATGACTTAATTAAAGCAACTTTGGTTTGATAGCAAAAAGGAAATCTTTCCTTATCAGGAGAATTTTTTGTAGAATCATTTTAATGAAAAGAGTTTTGAAAACCAAAAGCATTTTTGAAAGAGCCTAATTAGCACCATTAAGAATGAAAAAACAAACAAACATTAAATGTCTATGTAAAATATGGTTTGGAAATTGTTACTCAGTTTACTTAATCAGTGACAGAAAAAATACTGCACAAACTTCAAATGTATAAAATACATACTGGGGATTCCTTAAGCTTGCAAAAATGGCTTAAATGTTAATGCTTTTTAAAAATTTCAAAAACTTTAATGAGAAACAATAATATTGCTCTCTTGATGATTACCTGTTAAAATTTAATTCCTGGGAGAATGGAGAATATTACGGAGGCCGTTGCAACATTTCACAACAGAACTGCAAAATGTGTTAATTTGTCATGAGTGTGTTCGCCCTCAAATTTAAATGCAGGTACCTTGCTTCCATGCATGTATTCTGAAACTCAGTGTCCAGCAGGAAGATGAACTTTTCTTCTATTTTTTTTTTTTTGAAGCCACCAAGTTTTTGTTTTTTCTTCTTGGGAACCAAATTTTGGGTTTTCATGTATGCCTTCTGGGTTTGGTCATCTTTTAGTCTCCAAAATTTTTTTTTTTAAAAAAATCCGGACAATTAGATAACTGAAGGAGGAGAGCAAGACCCTATTTAAGAATCACTGGCTTTAAGCAGAAAGAGCCCTCAGCTCTTGAAAAGCAACAAAGTTTAAAGTTACTAGAACATTCCACAGACCCAGAAGACCAAAATGGAAGCTGAGTCTACTTCCAGGTGCCAAATATATTCCTAGAAACCCTGAGTGTGTACTACACTGAGGACAGAACATACAGGATTCCATGGGAAAGTAAGCACTATTTCATAAAAGTACATTCCATATTATTCAGCCTTATAGAAGAATGAAATTATGGCCTTTGCCATAAATGGATGAAACTGGAGAATACTATGCTAAGTGAGATAAGCCAATCCCAAGGAACCAAAGGCCAAATGTTTTCTCTAATATGCTAATGTTAATTCACAATAAATGGGGTGGGGAGAATAGAGGTATTTTGGACTAGGCAGAGGGGAGTGAAGGGAGGGGAGGGGCATGGGGGTAGGAAGAACAGTAGAATGAATCAACATTATTACCCTATGTGCATATATGATTATGTGACCTGTGTAACTCTATATCACATACAACCAGATGAATGAGAAGTTATACTCCATTTGTGTATGATGTGTCAAAATGCATTCTACTATCATGTATAATTAATTAGAATTAAAAAATATTTAAAAGAGTACATTCCATTGTACTTTTGAAATAAATTTCCAAAAACTATATGATAGGGCTGTCTGGAGGTGAAATCATTACTGAATCTAAGTCTAGGGACAGCAGTCACATTTCTAGGGGCCAGGCCAGCACATTTTATGCATTAATCTGCAGTTGGTAAGGCTTGAGATGCCAAAAGATACCTACTTTCTATTGAGTATCTGGCCTGAGACCTTCCTGGGGGCTGAGGCAGTGATTTAAGACTCCTGATGGATTCTGTACCCACAACCATCTGAGCAGGCAAATGGGTGCCTTAGCTTAGAAAGGTGGTTATTTACTCGTGTGGGGTTATCTACAAAGAAGCTCCAGCTTTCTAGGGATCTGAGGACGCAGCATTTAACACAATGGACAAGAATCTTTACCACCTTGGAACTAACATTCTAGTAGGGGAGACACCCAAACAAGAAAACATGCAAAAAATACAGTAGGTTTGATAGTGGTATAAATGCTAAGGAAAAAATACACCAGGCAAGGGGGATATGCAATGCTAAATGGGTATCTGGGAAAAGGAAAGAGCAAGGGACTCACTAGTTCAAAGGCTCTGAGGCAGGAGGGGAGATCCAGGGAGGAGTCACTAGGCTGGCAGTCACTACAAAGAGCTGGGTAAGCAGTGCACAAATCAGCAGTTCTGTCCTCAAGGCACTTACAATTTAGCAGGGAAGAAAAAAATTAATTGACTTTACTGTGATAAATTAATTATGATAGATTTGGCAGAATCTCTCTGGGACCAAAATGAACCCCCTCTGCTGAGGGTTGCAGAGTTCTAAAGGAGTGAAATTGTATTTTGCTAGGTCAGGAAAGGATGGCACACACCAGTGTTTACCACTTTGGTGATGGAAGCACTCAAACAGACAGATAGTGGCTTGCTAGTGATGATTCCCAGATCCTGAGCTGTGGTGGCAGGAACAAAACAACTTTTTGGTCTCAGACTGTCTATGTTAGACCTTTAGCCTCAATTGACCATGGGGTGGGCAGGAGACAGTGGTATTTATTGCACAAGCCCTCATTCTCTCAAGGAAGTGACCTATGTTTAGCGACACAGAGGAGCACTGTAGAGTTAGCAAGCTTCAGAAAGGCAAGAGGAAGAATCTTGAAGACCCTGTTTCTTTTTACCTTCAAATCACTTACCTCATAATGTGTATAGGAGCTAGAAAGGGTTCAAAGTGTGGGGTAAAAAGTTGTGGTTTTGTTTTATTTTTGTCAGTTCCTTTCCAAAGGGATTTCAAAATCAGAAACATGTTTTGCATAAGGGCTCATCCACTCATATAACT